CCCAACCTATTCCTTTAATTCAGCCCATCCCTTCATTTCCCATAAGGGATACTTTTAATTAATGTAGTATCTATAGAAACAATGCTAATGACTGGCTTGCTGTTAATAAATCTCTTGGGTAAATCTCTGTTCGGGGCTCTCAGCTCTGAAGGCTGTGAGACCCCTGATTTCCCACTTCACACCTCTATATTTCTGTGTGTGTGTCTTTAATTCCTCTAGCACCGCTGGGTTAGGGTCTCCCCGACAGAGCTGGTCTCCGCACACAAAATCCACAAAAAGCACTACAGACTGAGCTCGGCAAATACTAACAGCCCCTAAATGTTGCCATGGTGGTTCTGACCATTACTATTTCACACTGGGAATTAGTCAAAGTGGACAAAGGTTCATGATCAAGCCGTCAACCTGGAAGTGAAGGGGGTATGAGGAGAGCCATGAGAGGGCAGCCACTCTGTGATGGGGAGGGTCATGAGAGGGCAGCTACTCACGTGGCAGAATATAAGCCTCACAGGCCTGATGACCTAGAACCAACTACTCAAGCCCCAGAGACCCTGGTTACCTGTGCTCCGCACTGCCCCGCACCCCTCCCTGCTCACCTGCGCTCTGCACTGCCCCACACCCATCCCTGGTTACCTGAACTCTGCACCGCCCCGCACCCCTCCCTGGTTACCTGTGCTCTGCACCCTCCCGCAACCGTCCCTGGTTGCCTGCGCTCTGCACTGCCCCGCACCCCTCCCTGGTTACCTGCGCTCTGCACTGCCCCACACCCGTCCCTGGTTGCCTGCGCTCTGCACTGCCCCGCACCCGTCCCTGGGTGAGTACAGCCCCCGCACTTCAGGCTCTGGGTCCAGCAGAGGTACAAAGAAGCAAGGATGACAGAACCTTGGTGGCCAAGAGAACAGCACAGAGCTTCAGAGGCTGGTGCCCTCAGTTCCAAGTCCTATGTGGGAAGAGGGTGTGCTACAAGGCTGGCTCGCCACAGCAACCTAAGGGTCTATTTTTTTTTTGAAATAGAGTCTCGCTCTGTCGCCCAGGCTTGGAGTCCAATGGCGCGATCTCGGCTCACTGCAGCCTCCGCCTCCCGGGTTCAAGTGATTCTCCTGCTTCAGCCTCTTGAGTAGCAGGACTATAGGCACACGCCACCACGCCCAGTTAATTTTTGTATTTTTAGTAGATATGGGGTTTTGGAATGTTGGCCAGGCTGGTTTCGAACTCCTGACTTCAGGTGATCTGCCCACCTCTGCCTCCAAAGTGCTGGGATTACAGGCATGAGCCATTGTGCCCGGCCGGGTCTATCTACTTTTAAGATCTGTCTAAGACTGGACACATTAGCTCACGCCTGTCATACCAGCACTCTGGGAGGCCAAGGCGGGGGGATCACGTGGGCCCAGGAGTTCAAGGCCGCAGTGAGTCGTGATCGTCCCACTGCACTCAGCCTGGGCAACAGAGCCAGACTCTTTCCAATAAAAGAAAATGATCTCAAGTGTACCCTGCAGAGGACACGCAGGGCCAGCATGTGGCCTCCCCCAACCACCGAGCCCACCTTGGAAACATGGGGCCTCCCTGCCACTGAGCCCACCTGGGAGGGTTTCTGAAACTTGCGGCCAAGAGTCTTGCCTGTACCACACAATTCTGCAACTGTCAGTACTAAATATTCCCAGTGCCCTCACCCAGTCCAGAATTCTACGTAAGTGAAGGGAGGAAGCCTCCAAAAGCCATGTCAAAGAGGAAGAAGGGTGGAAAGCCAGGATCACAAACAAGTGGCCCTGGGGGTGCGAGTAGGCTGTGCCCTCCCCATTCCTTAGGCCAGAGCTGGACCCCCAAGGCTCCTGAGCGGGCCCAGCCACTCAGCTAATACTAAGCATGGCACACAAGGGCTGCTGGCTGGCAGAAATTACATGCAACACCCAACCAAACGCACGAGGCGAGTCACGCTTAAACCACATGATAGCTGTGCAGCAGCGTTTTCATTTTCTGCCTCAGTTTACCTCACTAGCAGTAACACTGAGTTCAAGCCAGCCACACAGGGAAGGTGGATTTCCCTGCAGTTAGGGCACGGCAGGCTCCATTTCAAAAGCAACGGCACGCAGAACCCAAAACAAAGAGCACACAGCATACACCTGCCCTGGGCATCTCTGACACGGTTGGTGCTCCTGATAATCTGCCTTTTAAAAAAGTGAAGACTAGCCAGGTGGGAAACGGCACATGCCTGTAATCCCAGCCACTCGGGAGGCCGAGGCAGGAAGATCCAGAGCCCAGTTCAAATCCATCCTGAGTAATAGCAAGACCTCGTCTCTTAAAAAAAAAAAAGGAAGATGACAGAACAAATTTGAAGAAATTTGAAAGCTATCTGGTTCCACAGTTCTACCTAAAAACCCATTCACACCACAAGTCCAAATTCCAAAAAGCTAAGAAAACCGTTTTTTCCTAACTCACTTGACAGCAAATCCTAGTCTATCATAACCTCATTTGGGACAAAACCTGACATGAACTGATACGGAGCTAATCGCAGACTTTATCCCACAGTGAGAATATTTAGTCATTTAATTACAGAAACATTAATGTATTCAATTACAGAATACTTTCCCAAGTTCTCTGGGAATATCCCATGATATACAGGTTATATGCCGCAATGATCATTCTGAAACCTGAAAAATTCTGGAATCATAAACATCTGTACTCAAGGGTTCGGATCACGGGCCATCGCCATGTTTACACAAGACAGCCTGAACTCCCAAAGCCTATGTTCTAAGGTTGCTGTCCAGACAAAACTTATTTAAGTATATTTATACAAAAGACTTAATTCAGCTTTCACACCCTGTTTCAGTTCAAAGAGACTTCAAAGAACTTAGGAGGCTACAGGCCACCTATTAAGCTCACAAGGAGGAAATCTACAGCTCCTAATTGCATTGGTTATTTTTATCTCCTGACTCGCCTAGATAGCAAAGGGAAACAAGTTCCTTTGCACAACCTCAGCGGCCGCCCACATTTCCTTGTTCTTCTTCCTGGGTGCTAAGTGACCCACAGGCTTCTTTCTTTACACGAATCTTCCTCTCTGGGCCCCAGTGAGGGTGCATTCTCCATCCCTCAAACCCTGATCCGTGCCATCTTCTGCTTGACTCCTTCCCAGAGCTCATACTGTGTGTACCACCCCAAGGATCCCACCGCCAAGGATCTGTTCCTATGCTGCCTCTGTCTCCCCACCGCTTGAGCACTGGTCTGAGGTTCCAGAAACCAAGTCCTGTCCACTATGAATTTCTTAAAGAATGAAGATAACCACCTAGTATTTTCAGAATAAATGAGCTGATCTGAGAGAAATCTGTTTCTAACAGAAGATGTGAAAGAGTATCACACTTCAGCCCCCACCTCTGAAAGAAGAGCTTGGAGCTGACCAAATTGTACCCAAAATCTGTTTGGTTTTGACCACAACGGACACAAAGTGTGTGACAACGCTGCAGTCAAAATGTCTCCGCAGACCTTCTGTGATAATCAGAAGTCTGGGATAGTTTCCCATCTGGTCACAGGGCAGGCACCTGGACAGGCTAACCCTCCAGCCCTGAGAGGTACCACGGAGCTGGTGAGGGTGAGGGCTTTTGTGTCACTTCACTCCCTTGCCCTGTGCCAATACAGCAGAATAGTCACGCTTCGGCACTGAAGTCAACCATGTTTAGCCAACAAACTTCACAGCCAGTGAAACGTGACACACCTCCAGGCACCACTGGACAAAAAATGGAAGGAAAATCCACGAGAGAAGGGGACTCACTGACACTGGAGATCGATTCTGTGTGAACGGAGAGGACGTTCAGGCAGCTAGAAATGGCTGGCAGAGACAAGACTGACTCAAGAGAACTTAAGCCGAATGACCTGTCCACTCTGCAAATTCTATATAGGTCGCAACTACTGGCTCTGTTTCCTGTACCACACACAGAATCACACGAGTAGATGTTCACCGGGAAGAGAAACACTGAGCTGTTAAGAAGAGGAACGGGGATCACTAGACAGAGCCCTGTCTACCCTCAGCCAACCCCCCACCCCCCAGGCTACGACCGCAACTACCTGCAACACGTGTGCATCCACCTACTGTCAAGTTCCCTGGACTGTAGAAGAATCAGCCCTAACCTCCAAAGTCCAGTCCTGTCCCTGCCTGCTCAATAACCCTAGATGTCCGGCAAAAGACCAAGGCTTAAACTCCCTCCTGCACCGCTCACCTCCTGACTCCAGCTGTCGGCCTTCCAGCACCCTCACTCAGCCTCCGCTGTAGGCTCCCACCCAAGCTCCCTGCCTGCCACCATCCCCCACCTCACCCTAACATCTTCGCCCACCCACCCTGGGGGGTTCCCCAAGCCCCAGGCCTTGCTCCAACTTGACCCTACTCCTATCACAAGAAAGTACCCCGGCCCCAGCCTCGCCCTCCGCAATCACCGCCAGCAGGCACTGACCTACGGGGCCCCCCACTGTGACCCTCGCCTGGCCCTGACCCATGCCCTCGGCAGAGACCCTCCCCTGGCCGACCCTGACCCACAACCCACGCTGGGACCCCTAACCCACGCCCTTCCACTCCAAGCTGACGCTGCCCCCAGCGTCCCGGAGACAACACTCCGCGGCTGCGCCCGCGCCCGCGCTGCCGACCCGGGGCCTCACCTTCGGCCAGGACCCGCCGCACCCGCAGCCGCAGCTCGCCCAGTTCCACCGTCTGCCCCACGAAATCACTCTGGTCGCGGCCGGAAGCACCGCCCAGGGAGCCTGGACCCGCCAAGAAGTCGAGCGCCGACTGCAGCAGCGACATGGCGGTGGCTGCGCCGCACCCCGCGGCAGCCGGAGTGGTCGGGATCGGGCTCGCGCTCCCTCGCCGTCCGGGTCAGCTCAGTAACCGCCGGCCCCGAGCTGCACCATCTTCCGCCCCGACGCCGTGACGTACTCGCGCGTGAGGACGCGTCGCGTCAGGCGGCGTCGGGGCCCAGCCCCGTCCCCTTCGCCGCGGCCTCGCTTCCTGACTGCGCGCTCCGGCGCGGAGGTCTGACGGAGACAGCGCGTGCGCGGCGTCGCCGGGCTTGTGACGAACTTCCGGTTATCAGGCTCCCGGCCGGGCTGACTCCAGCGAAGGCGCGCGGAGCGGTCGCCGCGGCGATTCCCGCCCAGGTAGTTCAGCGCCCCAGCCCAACTCCCGGTACCGTTCCCCACATGGTCTGTTTTGTGGGAGGCTCCTTCTCAGGTGTCTTCGATTTAACCGCTTCGCCTACCTCTGGGTGGAGTCAGCCTCCCGTTTGCTGTTAGCGCCGCGTTTGCGAATGGGTTCGCGAATTTTTCTCTCAGTTGGCTAAGGAGCAAGGAGTTAGCGTGCGTTAAGCTATCAATAAATACTTGCTTTTTGTCTCATGGAGGTCGGAGTTTCCTGTGACGCTTAGCGACTAAGCTTGGCAGCCCCCTCCCAGCAGCCAGGCAGGCAGTTTGCAAGGGAAACGCTGCTGCAATGCCTTGTCTTCTGAGCAGAGGGCCAGGGTCTGGGCGGGGGAGTGACCAATAGTGGGAGCTGTGGGCTAGAAAACCTTCGTCCTGGGCAACCACAACACTGCAGAGACTGCCCTGTGACCCTCAAGGTTCGTTCGCACCCTGACATTTTCCAAGGCAAAAGCAAGTCCTCATGAACCACTTGGAAGGGTTCATAATGCCCAACCATTTGGAGATGAAAAGGTGCCGTTCCTTCTAGGATAATGAGGAAATGGCTCACAGACAGTACATTTTTAGTTTTTGGCCTACACAGTATTTGGGGGTTGGGAGTGGGTAGCAGGAGGTGAATTAGTTTCTGTCATTTAAAGACTGGTGCCAGGCGCTGTGGCTCACGCCTGTAATCCCGGTACTTTGGGAGGCCGAGGCCGGCGGATCACCTGAGGTCAGGAGTTTCAGACCAGCCTGGTCAACATGGTGAAACCCCGTCTCTACTAAAAATACAAAAATTAGCTGAGCGTGGTGGCGGGTGCCTGTAATCCCAGCTACTGGGGAGACTGAGGCAGGAGAATCGCTTGAACCCGGGAGGCCGGTGCCACTGCACTCCAGCCTGAGACTCCACCTCAAAAAATAAATAATAATAATAATAATCATTGAAAGGCCTGAACGTTAAAAACCTAGTTTTCCAGCTTCTGTGGAAAAATCAAACCTGTCAATATTGGACCCCAAATGATGTGTGTTACCAATTACCTAGAGTGGTCCCTTCAGGTAAGACACAGTCATTTACCTGACCAGATTGGCTCATGTATGTTACCTGCCTGGTTCCTGTAGTCATTTGAGGTTGCAACCCTTTCCATAGAGTTATTTGTTCTCAAACTCAAAAATGGATTCTAAAACTCAAATCAGCCTCTTAGCCGTCCCAGAAGCTAACATCTATTATCTTTATCATTAAAAGATAATAGACTGAGCTCACTGGAACACTTACCTATTTTATGGAATGAAGTGTTACATGTAGCCAAATGAGATTTTTAAAAATACATATAACAAAAATAACAGTAGCAATAGCTTAGCTTATGCACTGATTCATTGCTTGCAACATCCTTTTCTGTAACGGTTCATTGTAGTGGTCCTAAAACATCTTTGTGAAGAAAGCGCAGTATCATTAACCCCCTTTATTTTTGGGATGAGAAAATATGCTCAACAATGCCATTACTTGGCCAGGGTCAACAAGTGATACGGTTAAAATTCAATACAAGTTCTGGCTTTTCCAGCCAGTGCATTTGTCTGGTGGACTGTGGAATAGAAGGACAGAGATCAGGAAAGAATCCCTGCTGGAGACAGACATCTGGGTATCCTCAGCATAGAGGTGGCAGTTGGCTGTAGGAGCTGAAGAGAGGACCAACAGAGATGGTGTACTAGACACAAAGAGGTTAGAATCTTCGGAGAATAGACAGCTTGTGGAGAAAGGGCAGCCAGTGAAGGAGGAAGAAAACCAAGAGAGTGTTGTCACAGAGCCAAGGAACGAGGATGTGCAGGGCAGAGAATGCAGCTAAGTGTCAAATGCTGCTTAAAAGTCAAGTAGAAAAAGAAATGGAAGATACATGTTGATTTATTCACAACGGATCACTGGTGATCTCACCAAGAATAGCTTCACTGGAGTAATGAGGTGGCAGCTACATATCACCAGAGTAGAGGAATGAAGAGATGATGAGGTAGAGATGGCAAGTGGAGATAAGACATTTGTCTGTGGAGGAGAATATGAACAACTTTAGGCCAACAAATTCAGCATCCTTAGCTTAGAGAGCTAGAAGGATGATGAGATGTTTTAAGAGGAGAGATTCTTGAGCAGCCTAAAGCTGATGGAAGGGAGAGAAGGTTTGCTGGTACAGAAAAAAGAGAAATAATAAGATAATTCTATCTTAATGAGATATCTTCTATCTCTTACAACATAGGAGGGGAATGACATCCAAAACATAGGTAGAGATACTTGCTTTGGACATAGGAAAAACACTTAGGAAGAAAAATGGGCTGCAGTTTCAGGTGACCTTATATATTTATTGGAGTGAAGGTGAAGGAATTCTCTAATGGCTTCTGTTTTCATTGGGAATGAGGAAAGAAAAGCTTCAACTGAAAGTGAGAGGGGAAGTAGGAATCCCAAGATTTAAGCAGTGTCAAAAAGATCTAAAATAGCTATTATGAAAAACCTAGCAAATAACTGGAAAGCATGATAGCGTTCAAGCACTCATTTGGAGGCCATGAACTTACACGGGCATGACCTGGGATTGGCTGGACATTTCTAAACCTTGTCATCACTTTGGAAACCAGAGTCGGACTCCTTATCTTACAAATATTTCTGGAGCACCTTTATTTATCGGCGTTGAAGTAGATGCTGTAGTAATACCATTTTAACCCGAATATCTATCTCCGTATCTCATGTGAACTCTCGGATGTTTGTTCTGAGATACCGCTAACGTATATAAACATGTATATATCCAAAACTGAATTTATAGTCTTAATCCCCATACCTGATTTCCAAAATTTCATAGCAAAGAGGATTACAAGAGATTAAGAGGATCATTTTATAATGATGAAGGGATGAATTCATCAAAAAGACTTGATGATCTTAAACATTTATGCACCTAATAACAAAGCTCTAAAATACACAAAGCATAAACTAATAGCTCCAAGGAGAGAGAAATATCACAATTGTAGTTGGAGAATATTCTTTCTCAATAAATAGAGAATAAATGGATAGATACCCAGAAAATCACTAAGGATATAGGACACTTGAACATGACTGTCAGTCAACTTGACCTAATGAATGTTTATGGAACTATCCCCACAATAACAGCAGAATACACAATTTTTCAAGTGCATTAAAACATTAACTGAGCCTGGCCGGGCGCGGTGGCTCAAGCCTGTAATCCCAGCGCTTTGGGAGGCCGAGACGGGCGGATCACGAGGTCAGGAGATCAAGACCATCCTGGCTAACCCGGTGAAACCCCGTCTCTAGTAAAAAATACAAAAAAATAGCCGGGCGAGGTGGCGAGCATTTGTAGTCCCAGCTACTCGGGAGGCTGAGGCAGGAGAATGGCGTAAACCCGGGAGGCGGAGCTTGCAGTGAGCCGAGATCTGGCCACTGCACTCCAGCCTGGGCGACAGAGCGAGACTCCGTCTCAAAAAAAAAAAAAAAAAAAAAAAAAACATTAACTGAGCCTGATCATATTCTGGTCTATGAAACAAGTATGTTAGCTGACCAGAATGATATTGAATATTAAAGTAGAAATTAGTAACGGATTGGAAAATCCTTTCAATATTTGGAAACTGAATAACTCACTTTTGTTTTTTATATATTTTTTAAACTCATTTTTAAATAACTCATGGTAGCCGGGCGCGGTGGCTCACGCCTATAATCCCAGCACTTTGGGAGGCCGAGGCAGGTGGATCACAAGGTCAGGAGATCGAGACCATCCTGGCTAACACGGTGAAACCCCATCTCTACTAAAAATGCAAAAAATTAGCCTGGCGTGGCGGTGGGCGCCTGTAGTCCCAGCTACTTGGGAGGCTGAGGCAGGAGAATGGCGTGAACCCTGGAGGCGGAGCTTGTAGTGAGCTGAGATCGCCCTACTGCACTCCAGCCTGGGCGACAGAGCGAGACTCTGTCTCAAATAAATAAATAGGCCGGGCGCGGTGGCGCAAGCCTGTAATCCCAGCACTTTGGGAGGCCGAGACTGCTGGATCATGAGGTCAGGAGGTCGAGACCATCCTGGCTAACACAGTGAAACCCCGTCTCTACTAAAAAAAATACAAAAAAAAACTAGCCGGGCGAGGTGGCGGTCGCCTGTAGTCCCAGCTACTCGGGAGGCTGAGGCAGGAGAATGGCGTAAACCCGGGAGGTGGAGCTTGCAGTGAGCTGAGATCCTGCCACTGCACCCCAGCCTGGGCGACAGAGCGAGACTCCGTCTCAGAAAAAAAAAAGATAAATAAAAATAAATAAATAGATAAATAAATAACTCATGGTTCAAAGAAGAAATCAAAAAGGAAATTAGAAAGTATTTTGAACAGGATGAAAATGAAAATGCAGCATTTAAAACTGGTGGGATGCAGCTAAAACAGTATTAAAAGATAGATCTCAAATCAGTGACCTCAGCAGTCACCTAAGAAACTAGAAAAGTAGGCCGGGCATGGTGGCTCACTTTGGCAGGCCAAGACGGGCCGATCACTTGAGGTCGGAAGTCTGAGACCAGCCTGGCCAACATGGTGAAACCCCATCTGTACTAAAAATACAAAAATTAGCTGGGTGTGGCAGTGCACGCCTGTAGTTCCGGCTACTTGGAAGCCTGAGGCAGGAGAATCACTTGAACCCGGGAGGTTGAGATTGCAGCAAGCTGAGACTCTGTCACACATACACACACAAAATAGAAAAGTAAGACGAAGTGAGACCCAAAGTGAATATAAGAAGGCAGATAATAAGTATCAGAGTGGAATTCAAAAAAATAGATAACAAAAGCAATAAAGAAAATCAGGGAAACCAAAAGCTGATTCTTTGAGATTAGTAAAATTGAAAAATCTTTGGCCAGATTGAACAAGAAAAAGACAAGACACAAATTACCAATATGAGGAATGAGAGATGACATCACTACTGAAAGGATAATCAGGGACTATTATTAAGAACTTTAGGCCAACAAATTCAG